CACTCCCACCTGGGATGTGAACACTTCCTTTGTCCACAGTATCCATACTGTATAGACTATCTTCTCCTTAGTCATCTGGTGGACATTTTGGCTATCATAGAGTGTCAAGGTATCACAGAACATGAGTTTGTGTCAACTTTATTTTACTTAATATTGTCCCTAGTGTGTAAGAGTAGGGATGTTGGCAACTTGGGTACACAGAAGAGAACCTACAAAGTATGTTCTTTGTGTAAAGGGATAGATTTGACACTAAGACTAGAAAAAAGATCATGAACTGTAGTTGTTGACATCTGTGTAAGAAAGGGCCTGCCATCTGTGAAACTGATAGGATAGAGAACTCTGCTAGTTTTGTGTAACAAAAATTCAGATGTGATACAGCATAGGTTCTTAGTCAAAGATGGATAAGACACTAAATCTGTGTTTGCATGTTGAGGAAAATGCTTACTGCATGTAGAATTTCATACTGTGTATTTCCAGGTATCCACTTGGGGTCTCAGAATATCCTTCCTGGAGCCAGAGCGAGGCTGCTGCATTGACTATTTAACTTGTTGCTTCTCCATTTACTCTCCCTCTTGGTTGTCAAGTTAACAATACATACTATGAGGAACCCACATCAGTTTCAATGCCATTTGCTCTTATTTACAAGGAGAAAATTGTGTGTGAAATCCCATGGCAACCCAAGAATGAAGATGTTCTATAATAAATCCACTCCTACAGTAGAGCTGGGAGGGGCCAAATTCTGCAACAATCCTGAAAGAGTTCTATCCTACAGGTGGGTCAAGGACTTGGGCAGAAGGACCAGGATTGAGGCTTACTAGGGAGGATGGAGAGATAGCTCTTGCCTCACACGCGTGAGAACCTGAAATCCTAGATCCTAGGGACCTGGATCCCTAGAACCCACGTTGTAACCTCAGCAATGATGAGATGAAAGGTGAACACAGGTGGATCTCTAGAGCGCACTCACCATCTAGACTAGCCTACAGGGTGAACTTTCAGCCAATTAAGGACCTTGTCTCAAAAATGGTGGAAGGGACCTGATGAACTCCACCCAAGGTCGTCTTCTGACCTTCACACACGTGCACATATAGTTCCTATGTGTACCTACATACAAACATGCACACACATATTTGTACATGCATACATACACAGAGAGAGAGAGAGAGAGAAAGAGAGAGAGAGAGAGAGAGAGATTTCAGTAACATAAGACAGGAATCTTCACTAAAATCTCCATTGAGTTCAGTACTAGGAGAGCCAGGGGTCATTGAGCATTACAGTGGTACATGATCTGGTACAGGCCCTTGAAAAGATGTTGGGATTCTGGCTGTAGTCATGAGACAGGTAGTGAGACAGGACCCAGGGTACATCTCCAGGGGCTTCTCAATGGCTCTGCTTTCTAGCTCTTGGCCTGAGGAAGTACAAATCCCAGAGGACTGTGATGCAGCTCTTTATATTGCCCATGGTAGGGAAATATTCACTTTGTCTGCACCTGTGGCCCTGACCACTCCCATTGGGGTGGGGACAGGGGCAGATGTTGTGAATATCCCACTACAGCCCATGGTAAGCCCAAGGTTTGTTCTGAGCTTTGCTCAGTGAGAGGCATCCTTATGATGCTAGTAGGTTGGAATCTAAGCTCGATGGAGCAGTCTTCACAATTAGGCACACCTTGGTTAGACCACATAACCAAGAGTGGAGTTGGCATTTTCTAGAGTGAAACTCCTTCAAAGTAGCAAGTAACAATTCATGATTCTCAAAGCACAGAGCAGTTCTAAGTTGGTGGATAGAGTGCTGAGCATGAGTTTCAGCATATCGTTAGCTCCTTGCATGTAACAGGGGCAATACTTCAGAGTATTCTGGCCAGGGAAGAACCACTCTCAAATATCTTCATCAGCCAGTGTCCAGTGGGAACTCACTAGGTGTTCAGCATGAATACAGGACTTGGGATTTTCCTTAAGGAGTCATTATTTTTAGTACAAAGGGTAAATACAAGCTACATCAAAGCCTTACTAAGCAGTGGGTACTTTTGCGTCCATGTATCTCCAGAGGCCACAGAGCTGCAGAGAGATGAGGTTGATATAAGGAGAAAATCAGAAAAGCCTCCACATATATGCACACAGATTTACACAAATGCACATGCACAGACAATCAATTTTATGTAATACTGGCTAGAGCTACAGAAAGGTCTATATGACAAAAAAATAAAATAAAACAAAGATACTCTGAGCAACATACTCAAAATAAAGTGTGGTGGGCAAAAAGGCTCAGCCAGAAGACACACACCAGAGCAGATGGGCCATCTAGAATGTAGCAAACCTCGCAGATAGAGTGCCCTGAACTGGATATGGGTAGAAAATGAAAGTCACATAACACTTTACAAGGATGCCAAAATGATACCAATGGAAAGGAAGCCCCTGTAACCAGCACCTGCATCTAAGTTGGAGGATCAACCTTGAGTAACTTAGCAACCCCTCCAAGGTTCACCTAGGAGACTGGTCTTTGACTAACCCTCCAGGACTTTTGTGACATGGGTCTGCTTGGCACTGTTGGAGGTGTTAGAGCCTATGAGGCAGGGCCTGGCAGGAGGTTTTCTAGTCGCTAGAGTGTGTTAAGGCAAAGACTCAGCAGAGCTAGGGAGAGAGAGGAGCCTGCTCTGTGGAGCTGGAACTGGGTGTGGATGCTGGGGTGCACTGCCCAGTTTTCCTCACAAGGCCACCCTGCTGCCAGTAGTGTAGATCACTAGCAAGTTCCTTGGAGCTTTCCCTTCTCCCCCTGCTCAGTTTGCATCCAATGACTATCTGATACCTCTGCAACCTGTTTCAGCATGGAGTAACTATTAAGGTACATCCTATTCCAGGGCATCTCATACATGTCCTGCAACAGCTGCTGGCATCACCACTATTCCGAATCACGTTCCTTCCTTTGCAGGTGTTGCCTCTAAAAGCAGTATCCCAAGAAGACCCTCAAATCTATCTCCATCTCAGAAACAATTTTCCTGGGAACTTGACTCCAGGGGATTGGTGTCAGGAATAGTCTGAGGAACGACATTCTAAGGTTGGAAGTTGGGTGTGAGTCTGCTGGCCAACTGGCAGCAAGGAACACAATAAGGTGATTGATAGATGTTATCAGACTAGCCCCAAGGGGCTCTGGTGGTCCAACTGCTAAGATATTCTCTAGTGATGAGTAAGGGAGTGGTCCAGCCACTTGAGATGCTCTGGAGATAGAGAATCTCCAGTGTTGGGAGCCCTGGGGAGCATAGACATTGTAAGAGTAGTATATCTGGATGGTTGCTCCTCAGTACTTCAACTGAACTAAAGAGAGTTGCTGAGAGCCTAAAGACGACTAATCACCAGTTTTAGGTAGAGTGCCCAATGACCTGCCTGGAAAACATTTTTAAAAGTTTCATCCCTTGCATCCAAAGACCAGAAAATTCTCAGAATTGGGCCACATCATTGAGTCTAAAGGCTGAGGATTTCAGAAAAGATCAGTTCATCCTATCAAGTCCTCTGTAATAGCAGCAGAGGTCTTGTTTGAAGGACTTGGGTACTGAGCCTTGAGATGGACACATACTGCACTTATTGGTAACAGCACAGACCCGGATGTGGGTGTCATGGAAGCCTCCCCTTTCTTTATATAACTATCCGACCAAAATCTAGTCAGGTTCCAATCTGTCCCAGCTGTGTCCATTGAGGGACTGGTGACCAGGACTGCATGGGGTGAAGGAACTTCAGGATATAGCCCATGACACTAACATGAACCACTGAAATTTGTATAGAATTTGATTCCAGGGGCATTGAGAGCTGGGGCACTGTTACACATTGTTCAGGGATGAAGGATCTGTGCCTTTGTGGGGAGTGGGGCATAGAGATAACCCCCTGCTGCAAGGCTCTCAGAGGCTTAGACCTGACCCACACTGAGTGAAATGACAGCACTCCAACACGGTGGCATTGACAGATGATTGAATTAAGCAGCTCTGAGCTGTGTCAGGTAAGTGGTATGGTGAGTCCTGGGACATGCCACCAGAGCCCACTTCAAGAACGAATTTACTCCAGCAGCTGTCTGGCATCCTGCCAGCTGACAAAGCTCAGCCAGCTGTCCTCTATGGAAACTGTCCTTGGCCAGACAGAGGTGCCTTCCCCTTGACCCCATTCTCTTCCAGGGGCACAGACCAAGTAGAAAATGAAGGTTGTAGGACACCAGGTGTGCCCTTTAAAGGTTTCATTTGGGGGATGAAGAGATGGCTCAATGGTCAGAGGTGTGGTGACATTCATATAGAGGACCCCAGATCTGGTCTTAAAGGCTATACCAAGCAGCTCATAACTAGCTTCAAGGGTCCGATATCTTCTTCTGGCTTCTTTGAGCTCCTACAAACACATACACACACACACACACACACACACACACACACACACACACACACACACATGCATGTATACCCACACACACCTTCAAAAGATCTTATTTCAATATATCTGCAAAATTATGCATATGCTCTAGATTTCTGTGTCCTTTTTCCTAAATAATTCTCTACAGAGCTTTGTTTTCTTCTCTGTCCTGTGGCCTCAGGGGTCAATTAAATTGACCATCACATCTTGTTATAAAAAACTGTTCCCTGTAAGAGAGTTGCTAGGATAAGCTTTTCCCCTTGAACAGGAAGTTCTGAGTGGATTCAGAGCTGGTGTTCTAAGCTCAGACAGGCATTCTCCTCCCAGGGTGAAGGTTGTTTACACACTGCTCAAGAAGTAAGAAAATATCTCTTCTGTGCCTCTTGTCCTTGAAGACTTTGCCCGAGCGCTTCTGAGTCTCTATCCACAACCTACTCAAAGGCACCTTATGAAATGAGGGTTGACTTCTCTGTTCCCTTTATTCACCACAGGGGAGTGTCAGCCAGTGCTGTGTACCTCAGTAGAGATTTAAGGAAACATGGAGAACAGCCATTCTCTGCAGCAAGAAGGCAGGCTTACCAGGTTCTCTGTGAACACTAGGCCAGATGGTTGAACTGGATGCTGAGGGATTCAGCTTGGTTACTTAGGATGAGTTTTTGGGACAGTCCAAGATAAAAGAAGTCCTATACCTTAGTCTCATTTCCCGATGTTGTGATAATACACCCTGTCAAAAGTAACACACAGTTCCAGGTATAGTCAATCATTGTGGGGAAACAAGAAAGGAACTTGAAACAGCTAATCTCACTTCCACAATCAGGAGCAGAAAGCAATATGCATGTTTGGAAATGGAAGTTTCTTTCCCACCAGGTCCTGCCAGGTCCCGGCAGACACTTCGGCCCCAAATAAACACATGGACACTATATTAATTATAAAACTGTTGGCCGATGGTTAGGTAATCTTACTGGCTAGCTGTCTGTTAATTATTAACCCATTTCTATTAATCTAAGTATTTCCATGTGGTCTAATGCTACAGGAGAAGGGTCCAGACCTATTTCTCTTTCCTCTGCTACATGGCATCTCTCTCTGCCTTCTCTCCCCACAATTCTTCTGGTTTCCTAGCCCCACCTATATTCCTGCCTCTATTGGCCAATCAGTGTTTTTTATTCATCAACCAATAAAAGAAACATATACACAGAAGAACATTTCCCCATCAAATGTTTGCTGGTGCTTAGCTGTCTTTCTCCATTCTTATATAATCTATATTCCCCTGTCTAGGGAATGGTGACACCCACAGTCTGCCCACTGATCAAGACAGTGTCCCATAGACGTGTGTGCCTGCAGACCAACCTAATCTAAATAATTCTTCATTAAGACTTGATGGGAGATGAACTAAATATTGTTAACTGTGATTCTTACTTGATAATTTTTGTGTGATATATTTTGCTATGTTAAGGTTAAACCCTTCTTTTATTTAGACAGAAAAGAGGAGATGATGGGAGATGCGATTCTGTAAATATGTTTCTCATACTGGTTTAATGAATAAAGCACTGTTGGCCAATAGGAAAGCAAGAGAGGCGAGACTAGGAGATGAGGAGGAAAGAGGAAGTAGTAAGTAAGGGTCAGCATGGAGAGACTAGGGAGACCAGATGCCTGCCCCACTCCCTGGTAGGTGAAACCACATGGAAATACATAGAAATGGGTTAATACTTAAGACAGAGCTAGCCGATAAGAAACTAGTACCTGGTCAACAGAATTGTATCTATACAGATACATATATTTGGGGCTGGCGGCACAGCGGCAGGACAAGACCAGGTGGTGGGCAGAAAAACCTTACTTCTTACAAAGACTCTCTTTTCAGATGATGCTAGGGATGCAGTTGACAATTAACACCAGTCACCACATCCTGACTGCCAGGGCGGTCATGCAACACTCACACCCAAACAACCACAGTCCACTTTTAGCAGGGAGTCTCAGAATTATTCTGAGGAAGTGGTTGTCTGTAGAAAGCAAACTCAAGCTCAAGTGCACACTCACATTGGTTCTTCCAGCAGCAGCCACACTGGTACAGGACATTCTAGATTTTTCACCTCAACAACCATGCCCACTGGGTGGCTTCCCTGGCAGGGTGAGAACTGGCACCAAGCAGGCTGTTGAAGGTCTCTTCTTGGTGACCATATTGTGTTGGTTGTTACAACAATGGACAATTTCTCCCAGCTACTGAAATCATGCAGATCAGGGCAAGGTCTCTTAGCTTCTGTCTTGTCTTCCTCTGTTGCAGCAAGCAGAGTCTCCTGAGATAGAGAACATTTGTTTTCTCAGCCCACTAACTCCAACTACAGTACATTTCCTTCTTATCATCGTTATTTAGTCTGTAATTATTCCAGTCTACTAACTCCAGCAGAGGTTGGGGAGAACCGTGTCTACAGTGCATAAATCAGTGACTTTGGGCCCTTCATTGTCATTAATAAGCTCAGGACATGGAAGTCCCCATGGATCAGCTCCCTCAAATGCCATGTACATTGATTTTATAACCCAGCGAGGAAAACGGAGGCTAGGCTGCGGGCAAGGACTTTGCCATGAAGATCAGAAGTTTCATTTAAACCCACGGTGATTGCAGCTTCTATTTCTTTGCTTATCCTAACAGGGCTCATAGCAGGCTAATTTGACTAAGTGGTGTAAGACAGCCATTTACAATACTTGAAGAAATAAAGCCCTAATTGGGCACAAACCCACCCATTTCTAGAACTCAATGTCTATTCTTTATGCTGATGCTTTCCTCTGTGGAAAATTACAGGGAATCCACCTACAAGGCAGATTGTGGAACCTTCCCATTACCAATCACTTGGCTTTTTCTTCATATTGTAAGACTGTCTTTCATTGGCCACTGAACAGCAGTGGCAGACATGGGGCAGGTAGTAGTAAGATGTAGTAGCTTGCAGAGCACATTGATTGACACTGCCAGCTACGCTACTTCCAATTTTATGTGTATATGCCCTGAAGAGTCACTGCACTGCAGAACATTGGTCCCTACCATCAGGGAGTCAAGGCAGAAAGTTGCAACAAAGCCCTGGCCATGCAGAATACGGGACAAGAGCTGTGTCCACAACACTCAAAATATGCACTCTGCAGAAAAGTCTGCATTTCTCCTTGGTGTCATAAGAAACCCTGCGCCATGGAAAGCAGGCTGTTGTGGGTATGAGGGCTCTGGCATGGAGACCCTCTGAAGGCTGGGCTGTGACTTAGCTTTGAGTTGGCAACCCCTTTCAGGGGAAGGCAGCCTGCAGTGCCCCTGCCGGCTCCATGAAAGTCATTTACATGCGCTCTTTAGAAGTGTCCCTCTCTCACCAGCCCTTGGGGATGTCACAGATGGCAAAGAGGGAAGGTCCCTGAACCCCAACATCTGGCCAAATGGTTCCACATAAGGAAGGAGAATTAAATCTCTTACAGGAGTCTGTTAAATACCCATCCTAGGTCTCCCACCCCCTTTTCTTTAGGAACAATTATCTTGACATTTTAGACAGATCTGGAAAATATTCAATATCTAATAATAGCTGGCTCAGGGTCACATGCTAACACAGATAGCTCCATATTTGAAGCTACAGAGTAAGAAGACAGAGACTAGGGGAGAAGATGAAAGGAAATTCAACAGAGAGGAGAGGGAGGCAACAAAACAGCCTAGTCACTCTTTCATTTTATTCCCATTTCATATCCTTCCTAAATGAAGTTTTGTTTTGTTTTAATTCACTGAGTCTATTGGTAAGAACCAGTTAAAAAAGGAAAAGGCTCCCATCAGAGCCGCAGATAAATGGCAAAGCTGACGGAGGCCCAGGGACAGCCTTGTCAGAATCTCACAGCTTGCCGTTCCACATATAGTATCTTGAAAAATCTTTACTGCCTTCAAAGATACAGCCCTTGGCACTCAGCACCATGCCTCCAAGTTTAGAATGTGGACCTCCATATTTATGTTCCCCAGATGGTGGGATTTATAAACGCACCGTGGGGTGCTATTGAAATTAATAATTTAATTCATTTCGGTGATGGCACGGTGATTGCTAGTCATTATGGCAGTAGCAGCTAGCGCAGCCTCTTGGTCCTGGGATGTAGCTGAAGGGTAATATCGGCTAGAGTGATTCTCTGTCATCTGATTTCAAATGCCGTCAATCCCTCCTGAATGGGGACCGCCAAAAGTTTTTGGAAGGAAAATGAAGCCAGCATCCACATTAGTTAGATGAAGGTGGCTTCGATTTATGTGATTTCAAAAGTTTAAAATCCATTCTCTGAGGAACAGCGGAGTGATATGGGGGTTGTTTTGCCATGAGAGAGAAAGGATAAGAAAGGAGATCCAATGCCAGCCTCCACAAGAGCACATCTCTCACTCTCTGTCTCTGAAGATTCTAATGGAGAATTAACCACACTGTTATCTCATATCCCCACTTGTCTGCTCACCAAGGGAATATCCTGGCATTTGGGCTAAATGACTTCTAAGTCCCTTCCAAGAGATGCTCAAAGATTCCTGGAGTCTGCTTGTGTGAATGGGGGAGGGAAGGTAGTGACTAAACTTCCTCAAGGGAAGTGTGTGTTTGTCTCAGCCTAATGACCTGAAGCCTAAATGTGCAAGAGGGAAAATGACTGGGCAACTGGCACACACAAGCATGGCCAATGCAAAGGAACGCCCTGGAAGCCCTTCCCAGGAGTCTGTAACTGCCTTAGATTTATACAGCTCCATTTCTTCCCTGGGAAGTCTGGATCCTTTTCTGTATTTCCATCATAATCCTCTAACATTTCCTTAATCACAGAAGGCAGGCAGGCAGGCCTGGAATGCAGACTCCCACTCAATAGCTGAAGAGGCCTTAGGAGTGAACAAGTCGAAAGGGGGCTGGAAGTGGTTCTGCTCTACCTAGCTTTTGTTCCACATGTCAGGGTCCCCAGGGGGCTGCACCACATCTGCCCAACCCACAGGGTCTGAATGAGAGCATAAGCAATCAGAAAGATGGTTTACTGAAATGTTAGGGACTTGCTTGTGTGCCCCCCATCCCGCCCCCAGATTTCTTGATGTTCCCTCATGATAGAAGACAGTGACAGAGGCATGAAACTGACAAATGATGATGCAGGACAGGAGGCCTGTGTGAAGCCGGGCTTGGGGGTCTCCTGGCAGCCATGCTTGCAGGCCACCCCAGGCCCCGTGAGAAGCACTTTAAACTCTTCTGAAGGCAGTTCCCCCTGAACCCTAAAGACCCCTCCGTATACCGCTTCTCACACGTCCTACCACCTCCCACCCTGCCACACATTTAGAAGACAGGCAGTCTCCAAACGGGCAGCAGAAGAGTGGGCAGGTTTTACTCTGCTAGGACTGAGGATTGAAGAGTTTAAAAAAAAAAAAAAAAAAAAAAACAAGTTAACTGGAATGCACTGGGATTGTGTACAAGACGAATCGTGGCTGGGGCCAAGAGTGCATCGTTCGAGAGAAGGGAAGTTAACAATGATGAGTCTACCTCTGCTTGCATGGGCCCATGCAGTAGCTTTTCCCTGGGGAGACCAGAACGCCAATGTCTTGGGGTCAAGGTCAATCAATGTTTAGTGCTGTAAGAACGGTTTACTAGAAGCCAATGGGAGAAGAAGGCCCATCCTGGGGTTGTGTCAAGGGCTGCTGTCACAAGGAGTGGGAAGAGTCTCCAATCAAAGACTTCATGGTGGGACCAAACAAAGAAAGCAACCTGTCTACTG